GGAATCCTGTGAGGTCATCTAGTTTATCCTTGCACAAAGGAAGGATGGATGTAATTTATCCCCATGCACAGGCCTATCCTTTGATTGTCCTCCTTGGTTAATACACCTCACTGCCTCACTTTTCTTACAACTGAAAATATTGTTCTGACTTTTTCTGAGATTTAATAAAAATAATAAAAGACAAGGGGAAAAAAAGAACAAAGGTTGATGTCCTTCCTCAGAGCTACTTGTCTGATACCTGAAGACTGTTATACATTACCATCTCACTTATCTTTTCCCTGGCACACCCTCTCAACTGTTTTAGTATTTCCTGGTAGCACACATTTTCCAGACCTGTGATCTTTCTTGTAAATCGCCAGGTAGCCCACATTTTCCTGGAAATGCTGTACCCAAAATTCGACACAGCCTTTCAGGTCCAGACTTGCCAACACCAAGTAAACAGAAAGAACTACTTCTGTTTTCCAGCATTACTCTTGTTTACCCATCTCATTAAAGTATTTGCTTTTTCACACCAGTATGAAAGTATAAACATACATTCAGCCAGTGATTCATCATAATACAGCTGCTTCTGTGTGCTGCCCAGTCATTACCCAGACGATACTGGTGCACTTAGTTATTCTTACCTAAACACAGGATTCCACATTTATCTTGATGACTTGCATCGTATTTTTCCATACCACTTCTCCATCTGTTAAATCCCACAACTAAGACTTTGACACTATCCAGGGTACTTGCAGCCACACCCTTCTTCTGACATCTAGCAAGACCTTATGCCTACTTATGCATCCAGAAATGAAAATAAGAGCAATTCTGTACCCAGTACCTTGCTTAACTTATCCCTCCAGTGTAATAGTAATTACAGACTCACCTGGTAACAGTTTCATGTAGACCATGTTTCTTTAGCTTACTTATGAAAACAACATGTGGTACAGTGTCAAAAGCCTTAATAAATCTAAGCCTGCCCTACCACCCATAATATTTTCATCTACATTGCCTCTTTGCATGATGCAGAAGGAAATGAGATTGGTTTGATGATTTCTGCTTGCTGAACACAGACTAGCTCTTAGTAACCTTCATATGTATATACTCATTATTTTAATGCAAGTTGTGTGACAAAGTTCTCCTTACTACCTATCTGTAGCTTTCAAAATCTGGCCCTTTGAATGATTAAACAACAAGGTCATGCAGACTGACTACTGACAGGATTAGGTCTCCTGAGTGCCTAAGCATGAGAAGCAAAATAAGCAATATGAAGTAAGCCTTGTTTAGGCAGAATCCTAAGCTTTCTATCAGAATCCCCAAACAACTTGTTTGTTTACCTTCTAACACTAGGTAAGTCTAAACTCCACAGAGCCTGACTATTCTTTTTTATTTGGGAATTTCTCAGGGGTCCAATGTGCTCAATCTCTACTTTCCCTGAGGTGCTTCTGCCTTTATTAAGAATGCAAAAGCTAGGTTTTCTCCTGAAACACTCATGGGGGAACTCAGACCTGTAGGTCCTGAGGACTGGCCAGCCCACTGGGGGATGTGGGGCACATCCTCAACCATTCTGTGACTGTGTGAACCCTGCAGCATGACATCTCTGTATTCACAAGGCCAGGAGACACGTTTCTAGCAAGGCCGTCCAAAATGCTTCACCTCTGACTTGTCACCATGCACAACCCTGTGGTCCTCACCCTCAGCCCACAGCGAGGGCTCATCCTGACTCATTTGCTATTTGCACATGCCACAGAAATGGGGCAGGGTCATGCCTGCTGCGAAGCAGACCAAGAACTGTGACAAATACAGGGCATGGACAAAACTATGTCAAAGAATAAGGCAGAAAAACTATGTCAAAGAATAAGCTTGCCTGGCTGTGCAAGCGAGTGGATGTGGGCCTTTGCTGTTTGAGGTGTGACTGCCATTCAGGAAAGAATCAGATCAATCTGAATTGTGCCTCTGAGAAACATTTTGATTTGGCTAACCAGCCCATAACCTGGGCACCAGTTGGCTCCTCGCAGGCTGCCTGTCACCACATCTCCTGTGCAATGTACTTGTACGGGCCCTGGCACTGCAGCAGGAGCATGGGAGTGAGGGACAGCTGAGGACAGAGCAGGGAGGTCTGTGCACTGCAGAGAACTCTTTGCAGCCAAATCAATGCCACTCCTGCCAATTTTCTGTCTGCCTACATGCCTGCGTTTTCCTGCACGTTGGCTGCATGCAATAGAAGGTGCTGGCTCCAAGACAACCTAGTCTAGCTATACTGGTTGGTTGTGAAGGCAATGGGGGAGGACCGGCATGAGTGGGTACCAGCGATGTAGATGACCACAGAATAATGCAGAGGCTGGAAGACACCAGTGGACGGAGCTGGCTGACAAGGTCATTCTCATTTTGAGAAAAATTGGAACCCCATATTCATCACAAAAGCAGAAAAAAATCAATAGGTCAGTGAAATCACTAAACTGACTACAAATGTGGATGGTGTGGAACTGCCAATGCCCCAGTGGTGATGAAGAGGACTGCAGAAGGACAGATGACGCATTGTTAATATTTAGTACAGTAAGTGCTTCTGTCTTTAACAGACTACACCATCAATCATCATGGGAACAGTACTGAGTATGGAGGTAATTCACAAGGCAGCTGCCAGTGATGCAGGATATAACCATCACTTAAAGCACTGCTGAGCTTGGACCGTGTTGACATTCACCCTTATACTCTGCAAGCGAGGCCGCAAAACTGTTTGCATGCAGAAATCACAAGTGGCACTGGAAATTAGTATGCACCGGCAGTTCATATTTGGGCTCCAGGTTTATTTTGAAGTTTATCCATTTTTTAATGTCATGCTTGCTACAAAGTCCCAGCTAGGTTTTCACAGTGTTGCTGCTCTAGCAGCATGCTCTAGCATCACCCTAATTCCATTGAAATGGGCTGATGTTGTAGTTGTCTGATGGGTTTGCTCAGATAATTACACCTCAGCATTCATTGCAAATCTTCCTGGAGTAATTTGGCACTTTGATTTGAAAAAGGTGGGAGGTGAAAAATCCACTGCTCTCTTGTCGGTTAGGAAAAATTTCTTCACTGAAAGGGTTATCAGGCACTGGAAGGGGCTGGCCAGGGAAATGGTGGAGTCACCATCTCTGAAGGTATTTAAAAGATGGGTAGATGAGGTGCTTAGAGACATGGTTTAGTAGTGGACAGGTTATGGCTGGGCCTGATGATCTTAAAGGTCTTTTCCAACCAAATAATTCTATAATTCTATGAAATATTATCTTGTGGGTAATATGAAGAATTTCCAATGGAAACAGGATGGGAGAAAGAACTGCTTTATATTAAAGTTGCTAATAGTGGCTCCACTGATGTTTTCAGGATAATGCTTCACCAACACCTACAGGAATATCATAGCCCATCAGGAATATATACATCAGGAATAATACATTTTTCTCATTACACTACCTGAACTCATCCTTTATGCAGCAACAGGGAATCTAACTAAAATAAAACTAAAATCAGTGATTTTAGTATGGACTAATAGAACAGTGATTAAAATAAAATCCAATTCTAAAGATCAGAGTCACTTTCATACGATACAATGTCTTGTTTGATTTTCAAGTCTAAACATTAAGGAAGTACATAGCCCTTTCTCGTTCATCACATGCATCCCTCCCTTTAACTTAACTAGTTTCAGAAGGAAGATGTAGCAATTAGTTCATGTTTTGTTTTGGGTTTTGTTGTTGTTGTTTTGTTGTTTTCGGTTTTTTTTTTAATTGCAAAACATTATGTGAAGTTTGTGCTAGCAAGAACTTTTATTGATAACTTTTAATTCTAAACTTCCTGTCTCCCCTCTCTCCTTGGATGTCATCTCAACTATGAGAAAAATGGTAATTAAGACAACAGTGGAAAACAACATTGGGTCTTCAGACTGTTCAGTAGTTTACTACCAGTAATTGGCTTTTCACTACAGGACAGTATCATAATTTTAATTGTGATTTTTCAACGAAGGTATATAAAGCAGCTCTTCAGAGATACATTAATGAATGCTTGCTGCCCCTTTACTGATTCCTGTATATTTACATTATCAGACTTAGCAACAACTGAGATTTCCAGCATGAACTGTACTTCAAAAAAAGATTTTAACATGAAATACTTTTTCATTCAATGAAAGGTCTGCTTTTTATGTGAAGCTACTCAGGCCACAGTTTTTACAAAACATCTCCAAAACCACAGGAAGAAAAAAATAAACTGTGGGATTTATTCATTCCAAATAAAGTGAATGAGCTAAAAAAAATTCTGATATTTAGTAAGTTTTACCATTGTATTAAGGAAAAAAAACCCCTTTAAATATTCATAATTGGGCCCAGATTTCAATGTTAAGGTCCTCATATAATAAACTATTACACTTAAAAAGAATGCACAGTTAAATAACCAGAACATTTGTAATATACATTCACAGTTTACAACAGTTTTATGCTAAGGTAACCAGCTGGAACAAATGCGAGTTATAGCAGTATAAAACTCTAGAAAAGCTGTGATTAATCAGGTATAGGTCCCTATGGCACACGATATTATTTGCCTAAACAGAGGCATGGCTATTCAAAATCATGGCTCATGAAAAGAGGTGAGACCACTGGAGGAAGAAAGTTGGCATTTTCCCCAAAAACTATCATTTATCCCTAAACATAGATATCAGTGATCAAGACAATAAAAGACTACATGCTTCTGTGGCTGCTGCTATGCTTTTTTGTTCCTAACACCATTAAGTCAAGCTCAGCCATGAGCACTTACATGTAATGAAACAAAAGAGAGGAAAATGCAGAAACAAAAGGAGAAAAGAATGAGGAAAGGCAGCAGTAGAAGAATTAATCTGAATTGCAATTCCACCAACCCACAGAGTTTTCCTGAACATCAATTACTGTTCTCAGTGTTAGTCACTTACCAACATCAGGATCAGTAGCTTGGACTCTTGTTAACAAAGCTTTAGTGGCAGTATTCTCATAGACACATGCGGTGTAGTGATCAGATGAGAACACTGGTGGATTATCATTAACGTCTTCTAAAATAAGATGAATTTCTGATTGGCAAAACCGGCCACCACCATCTGTAGCTCGGGCAATCAAGTTGTACGCTGGGATCTTTTCTCGGTCGAGAGGGGCCAGAGATTTCAGTTCACCTAAAATTGATTAAAAGCAGCAGTCATCATTACTACGGTAGCAACATCACTAATTCTAGTGTGAATATCTCAAAAACATGTATTTCACAGGAATAGGAAAGAGAAAAAAAACAACAACCTTGCCTATTTCAATGAATGGATTGAAAACTCACAGCAGTGTCATTTCTTATTCCTCTTTACACAACAAAGTGAGCTGCCAGTATGAGTGCAGGGAGGACAAACCACTCATGGTGGCCTTCAACAACTTAGAACTTCACCCATATAAACAACAGTTTTTCCAAGTCTATATTTCTTTTACTCTCAAGATTTATAGTTACAGACACAGAAATACATCTTGAGTCTGATGACAGTAACCATAATGAACTCTAAAGTTTTCTAAAGCTACCGTTCAAAAATAACACCAACATCCCTCTCTCTTCTCCCCACAAAGCAACCAACTAGCTCTGAATTCCTGTAGATAACCCTGGCATCTAGTTTGAAGCAAACTTCTTATTTTCATACGGAGACAGGTATCACAAAAAACATTAGCAGCAACAAAAATCCAGCTTACTCAGACTGTGAGAACTTTACCCATAATTCGTTTTCCACTGCACAGATAAACAACCGCCAAATGTTGCTACATCAGCAAACAGTCACTACTACTCAGAAGGTAAGTTTTGCACTAATTTTGTAAAGGGTGTAATTTGCGGTTAAATACAAACTTTTGTCCTTGAAGAGGGCAATACTTCCCCTTCCACACACTGCATAGCTCTCCAAACACTTCTTTCATCAGTAACGTTACAGCAACAGCAGGTGCTGCCTCCTGCTCATCAAGCAGAGGAGGCATTGCACTGGGAAGGACTTAGTCTATCATTATGGAAACCAAATTCCTAAGAATAACAGAGGGGTGGGATTTTTATTCATGGGAAAATTATTTTATTTAGCTTTACTTGGTAACAACCATAAAATCTAGATCTTAGCAGAGATCACTATCTTTTTCCAGACCAACTGCCAAATGTATAAGACCTCTGTAGCATTTCACTGTGCCCAGAAATTCATTACTGATATTCTTCCCCCCCCCAAAAAAAAATCTGTGTATAAAAGGAATGTCTTTTTCACAGGGTCTAAATACCAATATTCCTAGACTAAGGTGGAAGAAATGAAGTCCAATGGTGTGGGAGGACCATGTCAGAATCTGTGTGGCAGATGCACCCACCCTGCTAAAGACCCAACAAAAGCAGCGTCAAATTTTCTGGCCCTGGTGGTGCCAGGACTGCCTACCCTCATGGCTCCTGTCTGGTCCACACAGTGGGGGTCAAAGGTGGGAAAGTTGGCGTCCTCAGCCAATAGGGGGCTGACATGACCATATTTGACCACGGATCAGATTCAACCAGGGTATAAATGGGGCCCCATTGGAGGGCTCATTTGAGTCGGTCCTCCTCAGAGCAGCGAGTCTGCAGTCAGAGACTCTCACCTTAGGTTGGGATTCCACTTAAGGTAACTTCTCAAGATTGAGAGCCCTCCCAAAAGGCTTATCAGAAAGATGAGGCCAAACATTTTAGTAAGGCCTTATTGAGGTCTGGCAGGGAAACAAATGGGTCAGTATCCAGTGTTCTGATTATAACATTTAACCTGGCCAACAAAGACGTCCCTCTTTCTCCCTCCTATGACCACCACTTCAGAAGGGGTCATCCACACCTGCCATAACTGGACTGATAATCAAACATAACTCTGGTGAAGGAAACTAGCAGCTACTGATGTAGAAGGATTGAGAAGGCTATTCACAAACATTCAGTTGTCGTCTTACCATTTTCTGGATCTAAGAAAAATTTATTGTTCCCAGTACCATAGAGAGAATAGCGAATTTCACCATTGGACCCGATGTCAGCATCTTTAGCACTGATTTTGAGAATAACTTTGTTTGATGGAATGTCTTCAGGAAACAGTGCAGTATATGTGACCTAGAGACAAAGACAGAAAATGTAAGCTATGCTGTAACAATATTTTATAGTCTTTGCACAATCTTTTTTGAGAAAAAAACTTTAGTGCATCTTTCTATATAGGAAACAATTTTCTTCTATGTAACACATTCCTAGAAATTCTAATAATTGTTAAGCTTTCTGGTGTCACAAAACCAATGTCAAATTATGACTCATAATAGGGCTCATGTCAGGTGTTAAATGCCGTCTCATTTTCTATCTCCTGTTTGTTTCATCAGTACCCATGAAATGGAAATTTGATGAGTATGCTGACAAAGACTACTTTTTATCGCCTCATCCAGCAGTGTTTGAGGGAGATACAGACTATGATTCCCCAGAGTGGTGCTTGCAATGATAGTGGTCCATCAGTGATAATGTAATGATGGCACTTCTATGAGTATATACATAAAGGTGTATATATATA